CATCGAGAAAAAAAAAAAAAAAAAAGGAGGCCAACTACAAGGGCCTCCAATCAAGAAAAAGTCCTGAAGGATAATTACAAAATGGCTTCGACACCTAAGCCCAAAGAAAAATATAGAATATAGCATAGAACTAATTGTCATATAGAGATCTCCAAAGCCTCCTCAAAGTCTCCACAAGATAGCATTACTTTCCTTTCTTATGATAAGGAGAATGAAGAATGAAGGAACTCCACTATCATCTCCCTACAATCCCTTGGCCTAGTTAGAGCAAGACCAAAGTTTGTAAAGAACCAGTTCCAAACAGTAGAAGCCACATCCCAACTCCAGAAAACAGGATCGAGATCCCCAACCACTCTCCTGCAAAGAACGCCATGCCAAGGCACCACCCTATCTAAGATGTTAACTTGTAACAGTTTGATTTAAAATATATATATATTTAATCCCGCCGGAAATCGCAAGATTTCTGGCCAGGCATTTATTTTCGCAATTGAAACCATTCCATAACCCCTTAAAAGACTCTACCCTCTCACACCCTTCATTCTCAACTCAAAAGTCCTCCCATTCTGCAGTCTACCCTCATAACCGAGAGAGAAATTGAACGATTTGAGGGGAAAGTTGGTTGCGGAGATCTGAAAATTACAAGAAAGAGTTTTTGGGGTTTAAGCCCAAAGTCGAACCGTGGAGTTGTATAAATTTCCAAAGGTCGAACTGTGGTGGAAACGGCGTCAGAAAAAGAAAGGGAAGAGGCGAGGGTTAAAGTCTGTGTTTTCAGGCGAAGAAGATGGATCGTCGCCAATACTCTCGGATCTGGGCACAACCCTTGAATAAACCCTTCGGCTCATTTACCCAGTGCAGCCCAATACGTACAGCCCAGCTCAGTCACGTCTCAGCCTAAATAATCAATCTGCGTCCACTTGGCCTAGCTCAACCAATAGTGCACCAACTCGTATACCTGCGCCCCGACCTGTCTTCAACCCGCGCCTTCTTCGGCTGCACACGTTTTCGCCACGTGACCATTCCAGCTGCGGCTCGACTTCGGCGTGTGTGACAGCTCGATCACAACTCCATCGGCTCGATTTCGCGGCTCACTCTGACTCGGCTTGGTATACAAATAATATATTGTTTCCTAGGTGTTCGACCCTCCTGAAGCCATTTTTGACCTTATTTAAGGCACTTGAGGTCAGTAAGACTCCTATTTACCCAAGTTTAGATAGTTTTAGGACTCAGGTTGGAAATAATTGTCAAGTTTAGTTAAGCTAAAAGATGTCATGTGAAATGTTATAGGTGAGAATTGAACGCTGGAAGCATAGTTTATAAGCAACTACCAAGTAATTAGTAACTTCGGCTAAGTCCAACCAAGCAAGTGACCTTACTGTTGGAGTTAGCTAATTGATTGATGTATAATGGTTGTTGTGTAATAGCCACAGGGCATGCACCATCATACATCAACCAATTAGCTAACTCCAACAATAAGGTCATTTATATGGTTGGCCTTGGCTAAAGTTACTAATTACCCAGTAGTTGTTTTTAAAATATACTTCCAACGCTTAGTTCTCACCTATATCAATTCACATGACATATACGGGACATATTAATATTCTAGCTTAACTAAACATGGCAATAATTTCTAACATAAGTCCTAAGACTAACTAAACTTGAGTAAATAAGAGTCATACTAATCTCAAATGCCTTAAATAAGGTAAAAAAATGGCTTCAAGAGGGTCGAAAACCAATAGGGAGCAATACATTATTTGTATACCGAGCAACCTAAGCCGAGAAGCTAAGCCACGAAACCAAGCCAACGAAGTCGTGAGCCGAGCCGATCAAGCCGTCACACATGACGAAGCCGAGCCACAGCTGGAATGGTCACGTGGCAAAAATGTGTAGCTGAAGAAGGCGCAGGTTGAAGTTAGGTCAAGGCGCGGGTATATGGGTCGTTGCCAAGTTAGTGACTGTTGGTTGATTGAGCTGGGCCAAGTGAATGCAGACTAATTATTCGGGCTGAGACGTGATTAGGCTGAACAGTACATATTGGGCCATTGGGCCGCACTGGGTAAATGAGTTGAAGGGTTTTGCCAGGATCCGAGAGTGTTGGCGACAATCCGTCTTCTTCGCTTGAAAACGCAGTCCAGAGCCCTCGCCACTTGCCTTTCTTTTTTCGATGGAACTCCAACGATTCCGACGCCATTTCAGCTACAGTTCGACCTTTAGAAATTTATACAATAACTTTACGGTACACATTGAACCTCACTAGGAACTACACCTTAGAAAGGCCCCTCTCAACTCCCCGAAGGAATCTATCATGAAAAAGTATGGTTATTCTACCTATCTAAATTGGGCTACCTTAGACCCACGACCCTCGAGAAATTATTAATAAAAAGCAAGATTTTATCATCAATTCGGTGATGGTGCCACAACCTCTTTTGGAAGGATCCTTGGGTATTCCCCCATTAGCCTAGTGTTACCCTCTTATATAGGCTTTCTCATTGTTAAGAGGCCACGGTTAGAGAGGTTTGGAACACCAACAACAACTTTGTGACTCTAAACTGGGGCGAAATTTGAAAGATGGAGAGGCACTTGAGTGGGCGAATCTTAACCTTGACCTTGCCTCAGTCACTCTCTCACAAACCAAGAATTCTTGGAGATAGATTCCTCATCCTAGAGGGCTCTTCTCCAAAAAATCCTTATTATCTAATATGGGCTCAACTTTTCTCTAAGAGAAATCTTTGGCTAGAGTTATTCGTGGGATAAATACCCCAAAAAGGATCAAATTCTATGGTTTTTTGGTTGTTTAGTAGGTCAGGTAGCTATTCAAGGTTTCGAGTGTCAATTTCTGGAGTGATATATGTTATCTTCCTAATTTTGGTTGGGCGTTGAGTGGATTTTGTATTTTCTGGTTTGAGGTAGCTGGTTGAGCTACGTTTATTCTATTTTTGGAAGTTGTTAAGACTTCCATTCAAAAACTTCCACTAAAACTTTTCTTTTCAATGAACAATTATGTTTCCTTGTCAAAAAAGTATCAATACATATAACTGTAAATGACAAAGAAGCCCCAGATTCCACCTCTCCAAGCCATTTTTGGGTATCCTTCCCTTTTCAATACAAATGTTAAATGTGTCTTCTTTTCCTTTTTTCCCCCACAGATCTTAGTATGATGCAGTGAGTTAATGACAATCATAGGTTTAACTAGCTAGAAAAAAGAATGGGCTGGAACTTGGACCAACCAAAAGGCAACACTTGCAAGTTGTTAACCTCCTTTGGTACTGGCTTGGTTTCACATAGGGGTTCATTCAAATTGGAGGAGACACCTTTGCACCCACCATTCAGTGGCAGAGGGAAGATTTAGTGGCAAGCCTTGTTTTGGTATTTGTTGATATCTATAATTGGAGGTTTTTAAGGGTTCTGAAGAATCCTGGGAAAAGGGGAGGGATTTCGCCTATTTCCTGCCAACCAAATACTTATCTTCTAAAAACTCTAGAGATTCTGTGTTAAAGTGGAAGCAAGTAACACTACTTCAAGAACTGAAGAGAAATTTGTTAACCTCAGACCATAAAATTAAAAGAGCCCACGCAAGCTTCACATAATTTTGCTATTGAAGAACAACTAACGAATTAAAACAGATAAGTAAGACACAAGACTGATTTTTTTCCTGCCAAGAGCCACTATCATTCAGCAAGGAAATAAAAATTAAACAAGACCATTTTGGATAGTTCTCAACTGAATATCAATAACATTCCTTTTTTGTTTAGTCCTTTGCATTAGTCCTTTGCATTAACTAGTGGTCTAATATTTCAGAACATCCTTCAAGGGCATAGAAATTTACTAATAGTAATCCTCTGAACAAATATAAAAATAATAGTAGTTACCTCACATGGTCAAGCTATGTAACAACATTCCAAAGAAAATATAATCTAATCAATCGATATCATCATCATCTAAGAGATTCCAGAAATTTTGTAATTAAACTATCATGAATGATCTTGATATAGAGGGATGGTAAAACATACATTGGCAAATTCGGCTGGTAAAGGAGGAAGAATTCTAAATCCAATGTCAAAAGGTGCTTCGGGTGCCAAGGGATGAACAGGCTCAAACTTTGAGGATTCCTCTTGTACAGTACATGTGGTGTGCTCAACATTCTCCCCATTAACTTCAGTATGTGGTGACGCCAAAGGAATACTTGATTCGCTGGCTTTTGGAGAAACAAGCTTACTAGAGTCAGCTTCTACTCCCACTTTAAGCCGCTTTGCAGAGAACCCAGTGATTGCATCGGCTTTGCTTCCTGAGGTCTGTATTGAGAACAAAATGAGAAAATAAAACAAACGGTAGATTGGTTTGCTGTATGTAACAGGAGACTAGAATTGCACTTCCACAACAGGGTTTAGGGATAATTAAATGAGAAAATACATGGAGATTAAAGCCAAGAGTTGAGGGGTAATTAAATGAGATGACGTGATATGAACCTCCAAATTCAATCTTCCTGGCATGGATTTTCTTTCTCAACCTCTATTTATTTTCTCCCGTATTCCTCCAACAGTAGAGGTGATGTCTTATTTAAAACAGTTCTTTGATCAAACATGTAAGGTAACAGAAATTTATAAATGAGGGCTGAAAGTTTACCTGTTTTTCAAGTTTATCTAACTGGCGTCTAAAATCATTCCGCTTCATGTCTAGCATATCTTGCTTCTTCCGGAGTTGCTCCTTTAACTGTTCCAGATTCTCTAATTTCTTTTGCAAAGGAGGTTTCTTCGGGCTATTGAAAGCATGAGAGTTATCTGGAGCAGCTAAAGAAGATTCCAATGGATGGGAAATGCCGCCTTTTGAAGTGGAAACCTGGACACAGTTCTTTCCTTTGACAGCAATAGAAGGAAGTGAAGCAGCTGCAATATGATGTGGAAGTACATGAATACCATTATTACTGCTTACACCATCATCAGGAATGCTGTCACGATTAGCCCACCAAAGTTTGATAAAACGATTGCCCATAACAGCATCAGGTGACTTTAGAGCAGCTTCTGCCTCTTCCCTTTTTGAGAACTGGACAAAAGCTCGTTGGCTATTTGCTGGAATATAGATGTCAATGACCTCACCATATTTTTTAAAATGAGAAAGAAGTGCCTCTGTATTGTTACTCTGTTGTGGAATCCCATTGACAAATAAAGTACGCATTGCTTTCTGAGAAGGTTTCCGCAAAGTATGCATGGCATCACTATGTGCCTTGAGAGATGAATCTCCAGCTTTCGTGCGAGCATCATCCTGAGCCATGTGCTTTTCTTGATGGGAATTTCCTTGGACACTAGTCAAAACTTCATTGTGTTCCTTCACTTCATTCTCATGATAGCCAGAGGAACTTACAACTGTATCAAGTTTACCTTTCATATCATGTCTATTTCTAGACCCACCTCTACCCCCGGCAAACGAACTAGTAACCTGTTGACCACTAGTTACAGTAATTCTACTAGTGCATCCATTATCAGCAGCATCACATTTCCTAACCTGATTCCTATCAGAAGGATCATCTCCTACCAAGGTTTCAACTTCATCAATCTTTGATGAATGCATACCCGAGAGTGCATTTTGTTTCTCAGGACAGTTGTTGTTCCATAGAGGTTGATCAGGATCGTACAAGTCAGCTTCAGCTGCATTACCAGAACCTGAATATACACCATGGAAGGCCAATGAATCATCTCCTACACCAGGCTTGGTATTTTTTCCAAGTAACCCTTTGCCACACATTACTGTCGTGGAAGATGTGCTAACTGTTGGCAGAGATCCAGTAGTTTTCCCCATTAATTGTGCATTTGGAAGCGACAGCGGAAGATTAAATTGAGAAAGACTCTGCATCGCAAGATCATACAATTCATTAGAACTAGATATACAGTTACTAGTTATAACATATAAAAGCATAAAGAAATCTCTTTTCAGGTAAAACATAGGCTGGAAACAACCCAAAAGCAATACTGTGGTAAGATTATTGCTTATACATGAAATACAATAAGGTTCAACCAAATAAAAATTGTAAATGGGAAGTAAACTATATTTTTCTCTTAAAATTTCCATCTGCTATCAAGTAACTTATACATATGACTTAATATTTGGTAGTTTAACAAAGTTCCTTACGTACGACACTTACTTCCCTGACGAAAAAATTATAGCAAATGAAATTATTTATGGAACTTCTAATTTTAAGAGAAAACAAATAATTAATGGGCCATTTAAATTTATGAAAAAAATTATACAAGTTCTTTATATTATTACAATGAAAACGATAATACTAATTAACAGAAGGAACGATAAATTGAAAAAAAATGAATAACAAATCGAAGCGAGTAACTGTCACCTCCTCTCCTTGAACACAAAAGAAAGGGGAAAAGGAAAACTTGAACGGCTAGTTGTTTTCAAACTACTCCAGCGCATGCACACACTACATTTTCATGAATAAATGACATCTTGGATTTTTCTAAAGAAATAATAGAAATACAATTGTATCTATATGTTTCATCATATACTTTAATTTGGGATGTGTTTAAAAGATATACAAAGAGAGAGTAAAAAGAAACATAAATTTCCAAAAATTAATCCTGAAAACAATTCACTTCGCATATTTTTCTTTGAAAAAAGGGAGGAAGGGTTAAAAATAGACCGCAAATTACTTAAGTGTATGTGCAAAAGCATGTGAAGAAAAGGGGATCCATGTGAGGGAGGAATACGTGGTGTGTGAGCCCGATGGTATTTTGTAAGTTAGAAAGGGCCAAGGCTAGAAATGATCAGTATGGAGGGATGTATAGCAAATTTGTTATGGGGGTGGGTATCTTATTGGAAATTATCAATTGAATTCTCTGTTAAGGGCGAGTAGGGAGCTCTAAAATATCCACTCGGCTTGTAGATCTGTGCATAAATAAAATTGATTCGAGGTTTATCAAGGAATCTCATGTAAGAGTTGGATTAAGAATTTCATCTTTAAAGTTTGGACCAAAGACAACAATATCATTCTAACGAAGCAAACTTGGAATTTAAGGACACCAAAATTGATGCTTTCAATAATTGGCAGTACCAAGTAGATATATAGCCACAACACCTTAAGTTATGTTCTAAATAATGTCAGGAAAAAAATGAAAAATATATTATCAAGATGATGTTAGAAAAAATGTCCTTCAAAGATGTAATATAACCTGGGTGGCCCTTGTATGGGAGGCCAAACAGATTATGGTTTCATTCTAATCAAACATCATGCTCAGTCAAATACAGTAAAATGGGTGATATACATACCTGGACATCCTCAACTACAATGCGATTAGTTCCATGCTCCATTGGACACATGTCTCCTCTAAGACAGAATCCTCGTTCCTCAAAATCTCTACATCTCTGACGAGGCATGCCAATGTTCAGAGGAGGGTTGATCGGAGGCCTAAGTGTTCCCTGAAAACCAATAGAGTGCATCGGTTCTAGCCCACCATTCGGAATTCCTGGTATCAATCCAAATGTATTCCATGGTGCAGTTTGTGAAGTAGAAACACTTGGTAAACCCCTTCCAGCAAATAGCCTAGGAGGAAAAGGCCCATGGTGAACAATTTGGGAAGCAATATCAACAGGACTAAACCTTGAATCAAACTGGTTCCAAGGGGCAGACTCCCTGCCTCTTCCCCTACCAAAACTTAGGTCACTAGAAAACGCCTGGTTTGCCCTGATCCTTTGATTGAAATCCCCAGCCACTCGAGAACCTGGCACTCCACCTAGGCGTCTTTTATCAAATTTCCCAGGGATGTCTTTCTCAAGAGTGGAAGAATTGAAGGATTTCCAAGCTTCATTCGCTTGAGAATCGTTGTCCCTAAAACTACGTCCATTTTCAAAAGGTTTACTGCGCTTTCCATATGGCCTCAAATCATGTTCACGTGTATCCGTTTCCAAAGACTGAGAGTGTGTCTCCCGCCTCCTATGCTTATGGTTGCGATCATCATCTTCATCATCACTAATATCCTTTTCCTCCGGATCACTAACATACTCAGAGGAAGAAATGTCTGGCTTAGGATATGAAACTTTCAGTTCCATTTGACTCCCAGCAATAAACAGAACAATCCCTTATTCCTTAGAAGTAGCTACGGTCTTGTATCCAGAACTTGAAACACTATATTGAGTTATTTTAACCTAATGAAACAAAGAAAGAAATAAATCAATTACCTCGAACAACGAGAACAAAAAACAAACGGAATTAACTCAGCCGCATTCATTAATCATCTATTCCCTAATGAAATTCAAACCCCACTACTTAACAACTTAATAACATACTTCAAATTATTCAGCATCGAATAGGTCCAATAAATCTCAACAATACATCACTTCAATGACAAACTAAATTAACCTAAACCACAACAACTCAAAATTCTCCAGGTGCACAACAAAACGAATAGGTTACCGAGTATTCTCGGACGAATTGATCAAGAAAGCGCCATGGAATGCTTGAATTAGTCAGAGCGAGGATACTCGGCTCTGGAATTAGCGGCGAGCAAAGCAAGAAGAGAAAACGAAGGGCATTAGAAGAGGAACAGAAGCGACGGAAGAGACAAGATCGTTGAACGAAAACACCGCCGTCGTTTAGCGATTCAACGGCGGTCCGGCGAGAGAGAGAGAGAGAGCACGAGGGTACTGCAACCCTGAGCTCGTATGAGGCCCCTTCGGAGTTGTTAACAGCAACCAGGATTCTAGACCGAGAGGAAGATAGAGAGAGAGAGGAGACGACGATTGTACCATACCAAATAAAATTAGATAAAATTACAAAACGAGTATTTGAAATTTAGAAATTACACTTTCTCCCCACCATGTTTGGTTAATTGTGTATTCGCCCCATTTTGGCGCCCGTTTTCCTTTTGTAGTTAATGGGCCGGAAAAATGGGCCGACAATATGGGCCGTTTTGGAAATTTAAAAACGGCCCAGAATAGGAGGAACATGGACTTGTGGTTGTCGATTTAGATCAAAACTAAATAAGAAAAAAAAAAAAAAAACTAAATTAATAAAAAAATACAATTGAAATTTTTATATTTAAATGAAAATAGTTAATATTTTATTTCAAAAATATCCTTTAACTTTGGGAATGTTCCAAAAATACCCGTGACCTTTCAAAAGTTTATTAATACTCTTAAATTTTTTTAAGAACTTCAATAACACAAACCATTGGTACCATAGTTCAAAAATATCCGAGAATGCCCTGAAACTTTTTTTAAAAAAAATAATAATTTAAAATGATCAGATAGATTTCGTTCATGTTGATAATAACTTTTTTCAAATTTTTTTTATAAAGATTAAAGATGTTAATACTATTTTTAAAATTTTATGGTTAATTTTAAAACATAGTATTAATGGTTAGGGTATTCTCGAACATAATAAAAAAAAATTAATTGGATATATTTTTGGACAACTTACTTTCGGTTACTTTCGGTTGTCATAACCATGGCAACTATCGATACTAAGCGGACACTAATTATCATTATTACTTAAACTCGTGTTCATTATTGTATTTTGAGCATAGTTTAACTGTAATTAATATATATTTGTTTATTTAGAATGAAGATTGTGTATCAAATTAGGGTTTCATCCCTAGCCACGACGATTAGGGTAAGTTGATGGATAAAATTGACTTTTATAGCATACGTTATTTTTACGTAAAGGAACGTCGAGTTTTGAATAAATTTGGGTTGTTTTCTACACATGAGATCCACGAGCATCTCGACAAGGACGTTGAGTCCCCAAGAGGGTGGATTGTGAGATCCCACATTGGTTGGAGAAATGAACGAATCATTCTTTATAAGGGTGTGGAAATCACTCCGTAATAAATGTGTTTTAAAACCGTGAGACTCACAGTGATACGTAATGGGCTAAAGCGAATAATATCTACTAGTAGTAGATTTAGACTGTTACAAATGGTCTTAGAGCAAACATCGGGCGACGTGCCAGTGGCAATTTTGCAATTATTAATCCGAAGCTGAATGCACGGACATTCAAGCATGTCGATCAATTTACTTGTGGAGTGCTCGACCTCGAGTAAAAAAACTGATTTTCTTACCTCACGGCCTTCAATCACAATGTAACATTCATTAACTCTTCATAGCAAATGAATTCATAATTTCAAATCACTAAGGGTTTTCATATCTGATCGGGTCTATCCCAAAAACGAGATTGAAAAAGTGGTCTTATTTAAAAACTCATTCACTTACTCTCCAAATTATACGAAATTTTCTTTCGGAGAGAAATACAGATAATAAAAATAACAACAATAACAACATCGAGCAAGCTCTGAATAAATTAAAATAAGTACTCGATAGTTGAAATGCCAGAAGAACCGGGCCATGGCACTTGGACCGCCACCATTTGGTCTTGGTACTTGAACCCAACATCCTCACCGTCAATCCGACAAGCCCTAGGTTTGTCAGACGCATACACTCGCATCTCACCAGTACCTTTGATGCCAATTTCGACTGAGCTTAGGTCATCATCATAGTACACAGACTGGATGGCACCACCAATGTTCAGCATATTAACGAGCCCAATTGGGGCGAACTGGACAGCCGTTTCGACGAGTGTGGTGACTGGAGAGACAAAGATAAGCTCGAAGTCAAAGGGATCGAGGGCAATATCAATGTTTTGGGTGGGCTTGGCAAGGATTAGTTTTTTAGCTTGGTATAGGTACAACGCAAACGTTTTCACACCCTCGATAGAGATTGGATTTTCTCCGCTATTCCATTCGATGTCTTTTGCATTAGTTTTTGAGGTCACTCGTTTCGAGTATTGAGAGAAGCACTGATTGCGTCGCGTCTCACGACACCATCCTCCTCCTTGACAGTTGAATGCTCCGATCACACCAGTGAACTGTGCAAAAAAATAATATCTTAGAATACTTTACAAACATTCGACACAATTATTCAATTAAGAAAAAACGTTTACCTTGTTAAGGTTCCATATCTTGAGCATAGTTTCTCCGTCGTGCAAAGGATCATCAAAGAGACAATCACGAGTCGGGAGAGCATAGTACTCACTTCGAAGGATCGAACCATCAGGGAGAACCAATTTTTTAAGGAGCTCAAAGTTGTGCTTCCCAACAAAGTCACTGACATAGATCGGGCCACCAGAGATAGCTCGAGAGGCAGCATGGAAGGCAGCACAAGGGTGGGTAGATTGGAACATATCCCAATCGGGGTGGATGAAGTTGCCCATCCACAGACTGTTGAAGGCACAGTGTACCATGTGGCATCCTTGAAGCCAAAACGTACCGTTCGGATCACCAGAAGGGTCGGTACACCAAAAGTCATCACCTATCAAACAACACGTGGCACTCTTTAATTGGAGGTAGAGAATAACCCGTCATCATCAAATAAATTTAAAAAAGAAAAACTATTTACCAACACGACCGAGAGAAATAGCTTCCGTGCCGAGGAACATGAAGTCGTTACAATGTTCCATACTCGCAATCACTCCGTTCCCTTTGAAATGTTTCTTTATTGATTTGGACATGGCTTTGTAATATGCCTTTGCCAAATCCACTCTACCACCATAGTCCTCGCATAGCATCTCCAACAACTGTCCATTCAAATTTACAGTAATACCCTCAATAAAATAATATCACTTTTCAAATATTTATAATTAAAATTAAGACAAAACAATTTCAAAGACTTCAAATATCAAAATAAGATTTACGAACGGTGCTTACATGAATGACGTCGATCTTAACGCCATCAATCCCGACATTCTCCAAATGAGCATGGAGTCCCTCGTACATCTCCTCCGCCTTCTCCGGTGGGACCATCCCGACCTTATGACAAACAATCTTATCGACGGCCAAATCTTCCATCGTCTGTTGCAGGCCCGGCGAGAGGACCGGTTGGATCACGTTAGCCTCCGGTAATCCTGGCACGTCCGGTCGGAGGCCACCCCAGTATCCACACAAAGCATGCCACACATACACATACTCTACCGTCTTGTACTCCCCTTTGAGTTCATCAATGAATGCCTTCATCCCCTTCTGGCCGGAGACAGCACTGGAGCTCTTCGGGTTGACATAGTCACGGAATTTGTAATTCTCTTGGAATTTTAGAAGGCGACAGGGCATTTGCTCGCCAGCAACGGTTTGGTTCATTCCTTCTTTGGTGATGGGATCAGCGTCGTGGCCGATCGACTGCCAACCATCATCGATAAGGACTAGGCCGGGAGGGCAACCGCCATCAACGAGATGTTTCACACCTTCCATTATGCCCTGTGGGTGAACCGTTAGGTAGAAAGCATCCCACGTGCACCACCCAAATTTGTCAACGATACCTAGTGATAATATATACATTGACTAATTAAGAAGAAGATCATGGATTATGTAAGCACAAAACGTTTTGAGTTTAGGTCAAGAATATATACCTGGTGGAGTCTTCTCCTCCAACAAGCGGAAAGTTCCGAGATGGGTCCTAACGATCTTCATCGCCTCCTTAACAAGTACAAACGGATCATCACCAGCATGAAGGTACAACACGCTTCGAAATGACGAGTCCACCACTTTGGATGATCCACTCTCGACACAAACGTCAACAAAGTCATCCTCCCCGGGCTGAATCGATGATCGAAACGGCCCCTCAACGAGGGGAAGAAGGAGAACATACGGTCGACCGGAATCCGACTTCTCAAGGATCACAATTTGAGTCTCCGACTCAAGGTCACCACCATTCCGACCAACCCAATGAGTAGTCCACCATACCTTAAACCTGAAAATACTCATAAACTTAATATCCTTCAGCTTACCAATCGAAACGACATGTCGACTATCAGGGTCCAACACGTCGAATCCTACAAAGCAACCAATTGAAACCGGGGACTTATCGATCGTAGTGTACGGAGACGGAGAAGCAACAATATTCTCAGGCACATCCGACAAGAAGGTATGGCCATTAACGGTGAAATTCGACCCCTCGATCGAGAATGGAGACGACAAGTCGTTCAAGCCATCGAATGAAACGACAAAGTTGGAATTGCCATTTTTCAAAATAGGAGCCATTGAGAGAAGAAAAGAAGAAACAACCCAAGAACAAAAGAGGGTTAGTTTTTTGTTTCTCTTCTTCGAGGTTGATGTGAAATTAACTGAAATGGAGGGGATTTTATAGAAGAAAAAAAAACAAGTGGGCCAATTGGAAAAGGAAAATAAAAGAATATGGGTTCCTTTTTTACAATTTGTAGATTCTTGAGGGACCCAAAAGAAAAAAAAAGGAGACTTTTTCTTGATTCTCATCCAAAAAGCAATGTAAAAAGTTGAATGGGAATGGAGTTTTAATTTATAAAAATATTTATTCAATTAATTTTTAATGGTATAAAATTTTAGTTATTATTTTTACAATATTTGTAAGTAAATAATTAAAAATAACTCGTAACGGGGAAGTGGTGTTTCCAATGGCGGACGGGTGAGTAACGCGTAAGAACTTGCCTTTGGGAGGGGAACAATAGCTGGAAACAACTGCTAATACCCCGTACACTGAGGAGCAAAAGGAGGAATCCGCGCGAGGAGGAGCTTGAGTCTGATTAGCTAGTTGGTGAGACAATAGCTTACCAAGGTGATGATCAGTAGCTGGTCCAAGAGTATGATCAGCCACACTAGGACTGAGACACGACCCAGACTCCTATGAAAGGTAGCAATGAGAAATTTTTCGCAATGGGCGAAAGCCTGACGGAGCAATGCTGCATGGAGGTAGAAGGCCTACGGGCCGTGAACTTCTCGGAGCAGTGACAAACTCGAAATTTATTTTTAAAAATATTATTTAATGTAATTTAAAATATTTTATTTTTTGGAAAAAAAAAGTTTTATTTAAATAAATTATGCATGTTGGACACTTGTTTGGGTTGGAAAACATTTTTAAAATTAAAAAAAAAAATCATGAAATAAATTTGGTCCCTAGTGTTGTCATGTGAATATATTTTTATTTTTATTTTTAAATAAAACATTTTTAAATGGGTGTTGTCATGTAGAATAATTTTTATCTTTTTTTTTTATTTCATTAAAATTTTATATCGTGAGAAGTAAAAATTCAAACATGAACGTTAGTTTATCGAACATGGAACGAGTTGTATGGTCCCAAGATCCGAACATGTTAATGTACAGAACTCTTACGTAACGACGATAAAAACATGCACGTTAGTTTAGTGCTTGTCACACTAGCTCAAATGTTTATAATTCAAGTATAACACGGGTTCAATAAGCTTTACAGTTTCGGGTTATCGAATTAGGTTAAAAAGTGAATTAATATTTATAATTCAAGTATAACACGGGTTCAAATGTTTATAATTCAAGTATAACACGGGTTCAAGAAGCTTTACAGTTTCGGGTTATCGAATTAGGTAAAAAAAGTGAATTAATATTGAAATTTTGATAATTAAAATTATCTTAAATTTTATTCTTTGTCCTAGTTGACAAGAATTTTATATCTTTATGAATATTCAATCATTTTCTTAAAGAATAAATAATTCCTTTTGAAGCTTATGGATGGAATTTTTCTAAAAACCCTTTATGCTTTTTAATCGAATTTTGGTAATTTTTTTTTAATTATTTTATGTCTAATAAATTCATAATTTTTAAAAAATATATATTTAAAAAATTTAATAAATAAATTTATTATTTAATTTATATATTTGGTAGGGTGGAAAAGGGAGTGATTGGATATGGAATATAATAGAACTTGTTTGGTTTCACTTTTTAGGTTTTGTTGTCTTAAGTGATTGGTTCTTTGTATTCCCTCCCCGGAAAAGGGATGCCTTATCTTAGTTCCCAAACACAATTTTTTTTTTTTATAATTAAAAAATTATTAATAGTATAGGCAAAATATAAAAGCTAAATATATATATATATATATATATAAGCCAATGAAAATGACAAAATTAAGAATGAAAATTTATAAAACTTTTAAATTTTATACATAAAGTAGAATAAAAAATAATATGAGATTAAATTTAATTAAATTGGATGTGAAAATTAAATTTCCTCTCTTGTACCCTTCAATCAAGTACCACATAATATTAAGTTTGATTTGTGCGAAAATTTCAACAAAATATTGTCTACGAAAAAATATATATATATTTTTTTTAAACGAAATCTTATAAAAAGAAAAAAAAAAATGTTAAAATTGTAATATTTTATTAGATGTTTAATAATGAAATTAGAAATTTAAAATAAAAATTAATGATAAAATTATACGACTCACCGAGAAATAGACAAATACAATGAATCGATTATTTTTAAGATTCATCGAATATTTCTTTTTCTTAGTAGGGCCATTAGGCGATGGTTCACACAACTCGACAAATATATATATATATATATATATATATAATATAATATACTGTGTGGACCCAAGTTACATATAAACTGCCACGTGGAACGCCTTTTTGGTTCATCGACGGACCTTTTTTCTTTGTGTCCACGTGGCATTCTTCTTCGGTAAGTAAACTACTATTTGAATCGAAACGTCACCGTTTTTCCTTATAGAATATACAGTTTTATTTTCTGTTTTATTTGTATTATGACGTCATCTTGAGTGGTTATAATTCATTTTTTCAAATGATTAAATAATTAATTTTAAGACCAATTATATAAATGAAAGAGCAATACGAAAAAGAATGATTCAGTTTCAACTACTAATAACGATTACAGAACGATAGCTTATGATAAAATATATCAAAGATTCAGTTTCACATACTAAGAATGATTACATTAATTTAGCAATAAATTTTCTACTCGCTACTGGAAGATGCAAAAAGATAGTTTCAAAACTCAAACCGACGTTTACGAGTGAAAGAATGAGATTGATAGCAATCCATACAGCTCGAACTTCGGTTCTATCTCTATGCTTGAAACAAAGCTCTGTTTCTGCCAATATCAAAGCACATAATAGATATTGCCACAGATTGTAACAGCAAGTGAGAACCTGATGTGTGATGTAAAACTGACTACTCGTTAGCGACCAATGACATTACAGGAATTCCCTTGCTCGAAAAGCTCGAACACTGAACGTGTAACTCATCCCCAACTTCGAAATTGCTCCTGTTGTCTCCCTGAACATAGCAAAGAAAATAGTAGAATTGGACAGTGGAACTTTTCAACACTAGAACACAGAAGTAGACCGAAATATAAGGCCTCAAGGAGAAGACGACGATTATGTACCTCGAATTTATACATCCCACGAAGTCCTTCACCCAAATCAAGAACTAAACCACGAGCTCGAATCTGATAAACCTTTGCCCTGACTCGCACTCCAAGTTTCAGATTTCTCGCGTTTATGGGGCTCTCAACATCAACTTCGTTGTTACTTGGACCATTCTGAGCCAAGGGTTTCGACTTGCGTTCTGATCTAGAATTGGCATTCGATTTTCGAGTATCCTTAAGTTTCACGTTCATATCAGCGGATTTTTTGTCCTCCTCATCACAATCTTCAGCACTCCGAATAAGGATAGATGGAATTGATGAAGTACGATTTACCTCACTACCTACACTTGTGTCCACAGGAGAAGTATTGGATGTAGAATTCGGAGTTTCGTGCCACGTCTTAGGTACTTCTCCGACCGGAGAAACTGGATCTAAAGAAGGAACAGAATTTCCATTCTGAGCTTCAGCTTTTGGTCGGGGCATAGTTGCTTTGAGGGACAATTTGATATTACCACGAACATCTTGACCTATGCACACCAAGGAAATCCTCTGACCAACAGATACAACATCTGAAACTCGGGAGACCTGGATCATAAGAAATGTAAATCTCTTAAGGAAAAAAAAAAATAAATAGAAGCACGTGACTTAGATTAATTTCATGAAAAAAAGTCGCAAAAAATGAAGATATTTGGTTGAACTCAGTGCATACTGGATCATGTGACAACTCTGAGATGTGGAGAAGGCCTTGCTGGCCACCATTAAACTCAACAAATGCACCATACTCTTTCACTGAAGTTACAACTCCTTTATACATCCCTCCAATTTCAATCTCACGCCCAAGTGTGAAATCAACCTGTAAAACAATGATCTACCTCAGTTGGCATGTAAAAGAGTGTCACGAGAAAAATTTGCTAAATTGAGGCAGACAAATTTTCCTATACATAGTATAAAGTATAAATAATTATACTGTAGCCTCCTAAAATGTGAAAATAAACATGGAGCACAAGTTAGCCGTAGAGACGAACATGACGAAGGCATACCCCCATTTTTATATATGAAACGTATAAAAATCTATTTAAAAATGGAGAAAGGGGCATCTAAAGGCTACATGCCAAGGCCTACCAAGAGAGAATCTGTCACAAAAAAGTTGTCAATTCCTAATAATCATGGAAAGGCTGTAATTGCGAAAGAAATCTGTGGTTTGAAGACCAGCAAGAAGTCCAATAATGTATACTATAAACAAAAGAAGCCTATGTATTCCACTTGTTCTAAAAAAAATCAAAGATTTATTTCCTTCCAAACCAGCCAAAGAGTTGCTCTCCTTACACAAATCCAAAAGGGAACGTATACCTTTTCTTGTACTTTTTCCATCACAGCTTGATTTTTAGCCAATATGGTAAGAGTTCCATCACCAACAGATATGCGTGCACCTGAACAATAATAAGTGTACATGACATGTCAAGAAAACCATGGTGAAGAAGAAACAACCATAATTGAATATTCAAGGAGCATCGAAGCTGAAGTAAAAACAATATCCAGATAGTTCAAGCGGCATTTGCCTTCTGATAAGTGTCCAGACATAAAATGCACTGGTAAACCCAGAAGTTCAGTCATAGAAAAGGATGTTACAGATAGAAGCTAAGCATCACATCGTTAACTAACGACACAAGTGAAAGAATTGTTATAACAAAAGACAGTGCATTTATGCTTCATGCAACAACAATCACACCATCAAATATAATTATTGGCATAAAACTTTTTTTTTCACTTGCAAGAAAAATAAAAAAGACTTGACTTCTAGAACTATACAGAGATGCTATTTTGATCTAATTCCATTACATGGAAGACACGGAAATAACATCATTTGAGATGATGAACCTTGAAAACTAAAAAAAATCAGAAGTTCACAAATTTGAAGTATACCTGTTTCCTCTTCAATTTTTTTCTTCGAAGCACCAAGAGGTCCAATTAAGCGACGAAGAGCATCATTAGTGTACTTTAAGATAACTGCAATGGGTTACGTTGACCAAGTGCCTTTATTAGGCTTTAAGTAATATATTGTAGTCAACAAAAAGAAATTTCAATTATAATTCCCACCTAATCGAGGAGAGTTTGCATCATCCTTAATACGTGGTGCATTAATCTCACTCTCCATGTGCTCTAGTATTTGCAGGCGACCTTTGCGTGCATGCTCTAGGGACTCACATATTATGTCCAATGGAATTCCAGCAGGTTTTATGTCCAACTGAATTGCTGTAATTCCTTTTCGTGTGCCAGCTATTTTGAAGTCCATATCCCCCAGATGATCTTCAAGTCCCTACAAACCCATATGGAACAGACTCACAAATCAAATTAATAGACGCCAAAAAGTTTTTTTTTTTCTATTTTTATTTTAGTTTATGAATAACCTAACTTTCATTGAGAAAAATGAAAGAACACAAGAACATATAAGGGCACACAAAAGGAGGCAACCTAAAGGAAAGGTCTCCTATCAAACTGAAAAAAGGCACGACCCTACTACATTTAGTTGCCAAGAAAACATGTAGAATATTAAATCTAAAGTAGATGGCAACCATGAATTCAACTCATTCCCCATAAGCTTTTTATTATACTCATGGCCCATATTGACCACTAGGTCAACCCATGGTAGTGGTAATACTACTTTTGTCTAATAAATGAAAGGTATGTTTCTTGTTGTTAATAACTCGGTTGATTGTTGAAAACCAAAATTTTCCTCACATAAAAATTATTTGAAGTCAACCTTTTCTTCCTTCAAGATTCTATGGGAAGGCCAATCAATGCATATAAAGGAAATAATTTTGGGACCTAACAGAATTTCACATGCCTTGAAATTTTTTTTTGGATGAGTCAGAGATGTGAGCAAGCAGACCCGCACTTAAAAAAAGGTAGTATTGCATCCTGATATTACAACCTTGTTATGACATTGTGAAAATGTAGGCTACGGCATTATTGTGGCACATGGAACCTGAAAGAAATTAAAGCATCTTTGAAGATAAGTCTTCCTCTTTTGAGTTTTTTATTTTGTAGAAATGTACAGCCTACCACAGTTACAACCTTTCCATGATCCTTAACAACTGGAAAGCATTCTTTAATTTTGTAGGAGGCAGTTCTCTCCACCCCTAGCCCCTAGTCTGTCCATTCCTTTCTTAATGTCATTTTGTTTCTTATCTAAAAAAAGTATTACAACCTAAAATCCACCAATCAAATCCAAACCCACATATTTCTGAAGTGTTCTTCAAAGAAATCCAACGCAATTAGAGTTAATTACAAAAGGAGTATGATTTCTAAACTTGCTTTCTAAGGACACCCGCAAAGAGACATAAGATTTAGCTAGCTCAAATACTTCCCTCCAAACTTTCTTGGCCATTAAAAAGTGTGTTCATTTGCCACCAAATACACTAAAAAATTGATTTCACAAAGGAAATCCAAAGCTTCTCTGCTTTCCTTTTGAAAGGAATACCACAGAGCATAACGTCTTCCAGTTCAGATTGAAAGTTACAAGATTAGAAAACAAATGTAGAGGAGAACACCACAGCTAACTGTAAGTGTAAGGAGAACGAAACAATACATGATTGAAATCCTAACAAGTTCCAAGCAAAGACATTACCACCGTGGATTCAAAGCTATCAACAAACTACCGTTCTTTTAACCATCTATTCTTCTCTCCGATCTTCTCTCAATTCATTATCTATAGCAACTCTCAACCAGTAACTAACTACCTACTAGCTAGTTAGTTATGTCTAATTGCTAAAACTATAACAGCTGGTACTTAAAAAAATTGGCAACCAGACCACGTGTCCCTCCTGCTGATGTAACATGTATGCACTTCGTATCAGTGATCTAGAGGACACATCAATTTTCAAATAGAAAAAGAATGAAGCCAAAGTTGACTTTGACCCAAAGAGCAAAACCAGGGTGGGCAAGCAAAAATCTTACTAGTATATCAGTCAAGATACGGTAATCTATAATTGCACCAGTTGTTGGATCAGTTTCACTGACAAGACCCACTGAAACACCAGCCACATGTGCATTTATCGGAATGCCAGCATCCATCAATGCCATGCTACCTGCAAAAACAAAGTCCTATTAATCACATGAAATCCTAATACATCATCTCAAATTAATATAACTAGTGAAGATTTATTATAACAAAATGAAGACTGTATGTGAATAAAGTAATCCAAGTTTGTCAAATAGATTCAAACGGGAAAGAAGAATTTCATTAACTTGAGTAGGATTTTAAATGAAACATCCGATTATTGAATCAGAAATTGAGGATACAAGCAAATCATTACAATTTGCGACTACAACAAATCATATAGACAATACATAACATTTTATTTCAACCAAAGAAAGTTATACTTAGGGGCAGGAGGAAAAGAGAACCCCTCAATACAATCTTCATTTCTCATTAAAAAAAAAAATGAAAAACTAGAAAGCCAACCAAATAATGTTAAAGCTCTACACAAAAATATCAATGCATAGCCTTCTATTGATGCAAGATTAAACAGTACCTCCACAAACAGTTGCCATTGACGTTGAACCATCTGAGGCCATGACTTCTGAAGTTACACGAACAGTATATGGAAATTCATCTTCAGAAGGTAACACAGCGAGCAAAGCTTTCTCGGCAAGGGTTCCTACCAAAAAAATCCTTTTTAATTAAATAAAGATCTTCATTAAGTAATTCTAGAGTACTAGATACTGTAGATGATGGTCTACATCCGAACTTCCCACATTTCCTCTCCTCACTCCATAAATCTGCATTCAAAACCTCTCTACAGCTTATCATAACCAAAAACTACAGGTAAAATAAAAATTAAATTTGAATTAAGAGCCCAAGGATTTCTTAAGTTTTGCTACTTATCAACGATTTTCCAGATACCTAACATTTTACCTTCACCAACCTGAAAACAAAAGCAAGAGTAAATGAAGGATTGATTCTTTTTCACAATAAAAATTTAAATTTTGCTCCTTACCTCAGGAGGACGAAGCTAAAGGTTTTCACTGAAAATGTTGAAATTGACAACTACATTATGTGAAAGAGAACCTTTATTTCCCAACGGAAACCTTAGTTGCCAAATAGAACCCAACACCTAATTCCTATGACCTAATCACCCAATTTAGTTTAAATATTGAATAACATGAAGAAAAAGATAAATCATTTACCATGGCCAACTTCACGCCTATTTAAACCACCTCGTTTCCCCACTTCATTTATTGAAAACGGGGGGAAGCTATAATGAAGCATAAAACGTTTAGTTGGTGGACCAACTAGGGAATCCAAGCGCTGAGCTTCTCCTGGTGCTCCAAGTGTTACAGTACATAGAACCTGTAGGAGTTAATCAGAAGTGTTTTCTTTTTAGAATTAAAAGTTGTAAGTAACATGTAACAAAGAACTCTGATACTTGATGGTAAAATGGTTAATAATAACTACCCAAAAAACTAATGAAAGAACTGTCTTAGCTTACCTGTGTATCTCCTCGAGAAAAAATTGATGACCCATGAAGTATAGGTAAATATCTGGATTCACAATACAATGGCCTAACTTCATCAAGACGTCGACCATCAACTCTAAGTCCTTCAGCAATAATCCTTCTGCGAACAACCTAATATTTCATAAATTTAACAAATTACCAATCTTCTTAGAGAGAATAAGGATGAATATATTCAAAACTTTATGACTGAATAAAAAATCATGTGCCTTGTACTTCATTTGAAAACCAGGTCTCCATCCAGTTACGTTTATCCCAAAATCAAAATCCATCCATAAGAATGATGTAGTACAGGGACCCTAGAGAAAACTACACTTGTGGAAATAGTGATTTGGATAGATAGACAAATTACATGGATTTCACTGAATTATCAACTTTGAAATATAAGGAGACAGTAAGCTTCAAATCGACATTTTAAAGATGATAATATGATGTCAAAATTTTATAATAATCGAAAATTATTTTAAGAAAGAATGAACAGAAAAAATAATGTATTATTAACTATAAAGAAACTCAAGCCCTTACTCACCTACTATGACTCAAATTCCAATTTTGCATAATATGAAAAAGAGAAACATCTTTCAAATGTTTATAATTGTATTGTCATATGCATACCTTTTTCCTGACTCTGTCTACTGCTTTTGGCAAAACCTTCAAGCCTTCTTCATCGCATTCTTCTTCAAACACTTTCTCTACATCTTTTGTGATCTTATCTAAGGCTTCTCCACGTTCAAACTAAATATTAGAAAAAAAAATTAAAACTATGCAATTAGTGATTATAAAAATAATTAAATCAAACATTCATCTTGCAAATAATTAGTAAATACCTTGCCATAAGAGTGGTCAGTGAAAACAGCTTCAATAGGGGCTTCGGCTAACTTGGTAACTTTTTCCATCGTACTATCCGATAACATGGACAACTTGTATTCTTTCTTCAGCTTTCCAGCTTTAGCAGCCAGTCTGATTTGAGGTTCAAGAAACTTAACTGCCTAAAATATCAAAGTCGGTGATATTAGTAGAAAAAACAATCAGTACAAAAAGTCTAAACGAATTAGGATAAATCCTCATAACTCACTTCAGGATGTGCCAACCTCAATCCAGCTTCAAGATCTTTTTCAGTGATTTCACATGCTTGAACATCAATCATCAAAGTTTTCTCCCTTGTACAGGCATATACTAAGTTGAGATCGCTCAAGTTAAGCTGCATTATATCCAAAGCTAACTCATAAATAGGAGAAATCTGACTACACGATCTTTATGTTGGCGAACACATAACAGTTAACTATTTTGTCATTTCCATAGTTTTTACCCAAACTGCACTGAACTAGTGTTTTCTATAATGTGAGTGAATTAAATTGCAATAGCACTCTCAATCTGTTTTTATGAAGCACACAATAGGGAAATACTAATACAGATTTTATGTATGCAAGAACATAGGATGATCAATAATGAGATTATTAAAAATTAAAGAAATGTGGTCTTTTTAAGGAGAGTGTTTAATAGGCTTTTAAACAACTTATTTTAATGTTTCTTTTCATTGAAAATAAAAAATAAATAAGAAGAATTGTTTGCAGAGCGTGGAGTGTCTCCTTGGGGAATTGAGGGAATGAAGGGTCTAGAAGCACCTCATAGAAACACTGAACTGAATCACATGTAAGACCACAGAAAAGTATGACCTTAGATATTATATCATAAAATGTTTGAACCAAAGGGTCCATTGTAAGAAAAAAGTTGTATGTTTTATCTCGAGACTGGCACAGGAATGGAAGGGTTGCATGAGAGGGTCTCAATACAAGATAAATGTTAAGGTGAGAATTCACAATATTAAAAAGGAATCTGCATAAGAATCCAGAAGCCAATTAGTACTAGTAAACAGAATTAAATTTTCAAAGTCGTGGAGAAACAAAATTTAATTCTTAGCTTCATGATGGAGAGTGGTGGAAGAAAAACTGAATCAGAAGTAAAACTTCGCTGTTTAAAAAAAAAAAAAAAACCAATTTGGTATTCTTGCAAGTTCATAGAAAGACAACAATCAGGCAACCAAAAAAACCACAAATGGACACAACTTTGTTTGTATGCATGCAAAAAATATAACGAGGGTGGAGGGAGCAGTCAAGCACCACTGTGATTACCTCATCCATAGTCGGGTTGACAACAAACTGCCCATCAACTCTTCCAATACGAATCACGCCTATGGGGCCACCCCAGGGTATATCTGATAACATAAGGGCAGCAGATGTTGCATTAGCTGCCATAACACCTGGATCTTGTTTACCATCGGAAGAAAGAACGCTGGCCATTACCTTTGATTAGGGAACATACGTTAAAGTCATTAAGACAAAATGGGTCACACAAGAGGCATGCCAAAGATTGTAACGTGATAATTAACCGAAGTAGTATTACGAACATAAGAACCTAAACTCAAAATACATACCTGGACCTCATGGTAAAATCCACTGGGAAATAATGGCCTAATCGGACGATCTATAATGCGACCACATAAAAGTTCACGCTCTTTAGGAGCCCCCTCTCTCCTCATGAATGTACTTGGAATAACACCTTGTGCAAATTGCTTCTCTTGATAATCCACCTAAAAAGATGAAATAAATCCTCAAAACCTTCCTCCATTACGGACACACCAGTAAATGGTGAGGAAGAATATACGACGCAACCAAACACCCAATAACGAATATTAAAAGAATGGAATATCATCAAAAGGAAAATGTGGCCAAATAAAGATTGAACAATCATTTCTAATGGACTGCAGCACCAGTAGTACAGCAAGTGTTCATCCCCTCGGTAAGAGCCAGTGCCACAAATATGATTATAAATTCTAATTGATACTCCAGACCATAAGGGTCCTCAAATCCTCACTTCTCCAGATTATGATGAAGAAAAAATCGAAAAAGCCAAACGGAAACATGAAGGAAACAAAATCTTGCACTGAAAAATGTTTCCAACACAACATTCTACTCGTGCTTGTGATGCTCATTTCGCGAATAAGTGGCTAAAATCAATTATCTCTGTTTCTCATCCACCAACCGATCATGAAAGTCTCAACATTTTCTTCAAATAAATCAATACAGTAATTCAAAAAAGAAAAAAAAAACTGAAGAACAAACATACCGTGAGAGGCAAAAAATCAGAACAAACAGCGTCCCCCTTAGCAGAGGTAACGGTGGACAAAACCTTAGTCTCCTCCATGCCCAAAACCGCGGCGCCATTAGCAAACCGAGCGATCTTCCCAGTTTCCAACGTAATCAAGCGCGATCCAATCTCGAATTCTTCTTTGAAAGATTCGAGAACCTTGGTCCGGCCTGAGATTGCATCGGTGGGATCACGCTGCTGTTGAGATTGAGAAGCGAAGCCCATGCGGCCGCAACAAACGGTGCGAAAGCTGAGGCTCCGCCAAGTTAGGAAGTGTGGAATGGCGGAGAAAAGGGGATGCGCTTTGGACGCCATGGCAACTCACCTGTAAGCTTGTGAGTTCTATGGGTTTAGGGTTTAAGAGTTTTGGAGATGAGTTACAGTAGAAGTTTAAAACAAACCCACCTTCTCCCCTAACTCCTTTGTGGAAATAAAAAATATTAAAAATAAAAAATAAATTACAGAAATTGTTTTAAATGGTAAAATATTTTCATGGTAAAAAAAAAATATATTGAAGAAATATAAATAAATAATTAACAAAATATTTCGAGTAAACTTAATATTAACAATAAAAATAAATAAATTTATTTAAAAATGTGAAATTATTTATTAACTTAAAAATTACGACGGTTTAAAACTTTAGTTTGTTCGACACGTATCCACCTCCAAAATTTCGATATTTTGTTTTACAATTATTGTGGTATGTTTAATGTTTTAACTTATAATAATAATTATTAATATTTTAATTAATGTGTTAAACATTATAAGTGGAATAAATTGAGAGTGGAAATAATGTAGATATTTCTTCAAAATTTATTTCTTATATTAATAAATTTATATCTTTCTCTACACTTTTTTGTTTTATCCGTGTCCGTTCTGCATGCATTTCGCACGCGATTGGCGCTTTGTTCTTTTCTTATTCTTTATTGGACGGTTCGGATGGACTTCGCCTGAAAAGGTTGTCTCGAGATGTCAATTCGTTTTTCGCCCCACCCCCAATGAGATGGGAAATTGGTGACCCCTATTTTGTTTGACCTTGAATCTTTCTAAATCAAGGCCCGACTCGGCTCGTTCCAACAACCGGTAGGGAGCACCTCAGTATACAATCACGCGCAGTAATTGGGAGTCCTATTACACGTAACGTCAACTTTAATTCACCAAACCAATGTTCATCTCGTGTAGTGATTGTAGATTCATACAAGGATATTGAGTAGATGTTTGATGTATCAAACTCGACCCTATCTTTCGGAGCATGCATTCTCATCCGTGTCGCAACTGATTCAGTAAGCTACGTGTCCGATGCAGGGAGAATTGCCTTCGGTCTCCCAAACGGACTTACTTACTCGAGGCAATCTTCCAGCCACCCAAAGACCTATAACGCTAGTTACTACTCCCACTAGGGCTAGGAAGTAAGTCCCACAACCCAAAGCGGCAAAAAAACAAATAAAATTTACTACAAAAACCGGCTAACGGGGTATTTCTACATATGAGAACATAGTAATACAAAAACCGGCTAACGAGGTATTTCTGCATATGAGAACATAGTAATGGAGAAGGTAATAGCCGAAATAGGATTCGTTCTGACTAGCGTGCCTCTCTAAAGGTGTTGAGAGAGGGGTAGAAAAAATTAAGTTAACACAATAGAGTTTTGATGAAGGTTTAGGCTCCCATGCTTAAAAATAGGTATTTATATAAAATCCAAGAGTTTATTATTTTTCTAATTATCATATGCTCGGTATGCATCACAAATAGACAATATTGATATATGCTTGAGTCTCAAATCACATTTAAGCTAAAAATAAATAAACAACTACGACTACTTTGATAGCATACAGGTAAAAAAAATTGACAACTAGTCACATTCCCTATAGTACAAGCATTTTAGCCTTGACGGATGTAGACATGATTTTGATAACCAATCATACACCCCTCGTATCATAATGGAAAGTAAAAGAGGGGTGAAATGAGCATGCGAGCCTGAACAACACGTCTTAGACAAATATGACCAAAACAACCAACATGCAACCATAGGTAACAAGCCTCGAACAATCCAGTTATTTCATAAACCTAAATGTATAATTTCATTGTTTTGTATATACTGAAGTAAAAAAGAAAAAAAAAAAATTAGAATTAAAATGTAAGTGTCAGTACATATACAATTTAAGTCCAATTACAGTTCATAACATGTTTGTATTTGAATTCAAAACAACTCCCCTCCAACCCTCCTCAAAGATTTTAATAAAATAATAATAATAATAATCATAATAAGGCCTGATTGATCAAATATCAGAGGATTCTGGCACACTAACACAACAACCAGAATATGCATGGAAGACTCACCTTTTCCCTTCAAGAACCAGAATATGCCTATTATCCTTGTTTGCATGCCCTTACTCAATCTTGTGGGATCATGCCCTCCTCGTCTTCTTCTCGAGGATATGGCCGAGTACTCTTTTCGTATCCTCCACCGTTCACCTTCCCTGGAGACCGATCACGTTCGCGTTCTCGTACTGCAGGAGCCCGGTTGAAACGGTTAGGACTTCGGCTTCGACTTCGGCCTAGGCTCCAGTTTGCAGAACCATTCTTACTACCATTTTCATTTCCCCGAGGTGGAATGTTACGATTGTGAAAACCGCGTGGAGGACTCCGACTGCGAGCACGGTTGTATCCAAAATCAGACCTGTCACAAGGGAAAATAACCCATTAAAACATCACCAGGACCTTCTTTAGAGTTGTTCCCCTGATGTACTCGAAACAATTTAGTACCTTTCACGTGAGTCAAAGCCACCACCTCGTTCTGGCTTGGCAGAAGAAAAGAAAGACGATCCACGCCCACCCCGCCCACCAGAACTCGAAAAATTGCGCCCACCACGACCCCCGTCAGAGCCAGAACCCCAACGCCTAAACTTGGCCATTCCATAACTTCGGGAAGCCATATCCCGAAGTTGCGATGGGACTTGCTGGTTAGCTCCCTCCAAAATTTTAATCAGATCTGAAGCATACTTGGCGTCCTGCTCGCTGAAGAATGTGTAAGCAATACCAGTAGCACCTGCTCTTCCGGTTCGACCAATCCTATGGACATAATCCTCCACTCCGGTCGGGAAGTCATAGTTGATAACAACCCTGTAATGAAGTACGCAACCGAGATACAATCATATGATGCATAGAACCAGTTCGGCTATTGACTATAGAAAGCCTAAATTATAATTCATTTTGCAATCAACCTACAAAATATATAGAAAATGAACAATATACATCAATGCAAACCTGATATCTTTAATATCCAATCCCCTAGCTGCAACATCAGTAGCTACGAGTATGGGAGTCCTCCCAGTGCGAAATTGACCGAGAACATGATCTCTCTCGCCTTGGGATTTGTCTCCATGGATTGCAGCAGCTCCAAACTGGCGAGTAAGGTTGCGAGCAAGTTGATCACACATTTTTTTTGTAGAACAAAAAACTATTATTTTAGATCCTGGTTCTTGAGATCTCAATATCTGTTCCAATCGTCTATGCTTCTCCAAAGGCGCTAATGCTTCAATATGCTACAATGTAGAACAAGGAAATATATATGTCAAAATTCTCAAATTTTAGCCAATTCAAGCACAAATACCCACAAATTATATTTAAAGAACATATGAAAATACTAATAATGCAGCGTATCGACTAATAGAAAGCTGTTCCCAAATATTGAAACCAGGTACAGTTAAGTTCATACCTGAGTGATTGCCTTGTTGGCAACAAGCTCATCGACATTACCAATATTGACTTGAATAGGATTAACAAGTAGATCTGACGAAATTTTTCGAACTTCTTTCGGCCAAGTAGCTGTGTACATTAGGGTCTGCCGGCGAGCAGGAACCTCCTTTACAATCTTTCTTATCTGGGGTTCGAATCCCATATCCAGCATTCGGTCAGCCTCATCTAGTACAAGATAAGAAACCTGATGGAGACTGATTCTCCTCATCTCAAGAATATCATTCAAACGACCAGGAGTTGCAACTACAATATCTACTCCACGGTCAATATCCCTCAATTGTGGACCCTTTGGTGCTCCTCCATATATACACTTCAAATCACAAGTAAGAGAATATGAGTAATTTGCGTCCAAAAGAGAGATAATATTATTAATCCCATTTCAGCATGCTTAGCAGTTACAAACTGATAAGAGAGAAGTAAAAAAGAAGCTAAAGACAAACAAGATCATGGGGTGCTTCTAGAACCAGGTCCACAGGAAATGCATCAAACAACTTGCAGCATGTTCGTGTTCCAAAGTGTTCCTCCAAATATTTAACATTGTATTGCTTATTATTGAAGAGATTCGAAAAGCATGTCATTACTATAAAATATTTTTTTCTGGAGAAAGCACTTAATTAAAACCAATTCAGTGCACTGAACAACAATATGTACGATATGTTTTAGGCATGAAATTAGCAAGCATGAAAACCAGAAGAAAATGGATAAACTAGCAACAATTTGGAGCAGGAATGACAAAGCTCCAATCAAACTCAATAAACAAAAATTCATATTAGAACAAACATACCACACATGAGATTTTGGATGACCTCGCAAATTTCACAGCTTCATCTTGAATCTGTGTTGCCAGCTCCCTTGTTGGCGACAACACCAAAACAGTGGGACCTAGCTTAGGATCATTTCGAATGCGTTTGAGATGAATAAAACCTGGTATTAAGTACCCAAGAGTTTTCCCTGAGCCAGTTTTAGCAATAGCTACAATATCCCTACTTTGAAGAGCAATTGGCCATGACTGCGCTTGAATTGGAGTTGGAGCAGAGAACCCTGCATTATGTACCTGGAAAAGTCACCCCTATTAAGCAGAGGAGGCTTCAAAATATCTGGTTGGTTTTCATTTTTCGATTTTTAGAAGAATACACTAACTCCAGAAGAAGCATCATCCCCCATATGCATGCGGCAAATGCTTGCTGATTGCAAGCAGCAGAAGGAGGAGGCCTCTTCTTTCGTATGAACTTAGTGGAAGACTGAATCATCACCAACGGCAGTCCCGGCTGCAAATATGGGTGATTCGGAAAGCCCTTCCCACAAATTGGTCCACCATAAAAGGGCACGCCAAATTAAAGCCCCCAAACAAAGAGGGCCCCACAGCGTACGACATTAGCTCCTCCCAGGAGCAAATATCGCACCTGCGACAAAAAAAGTACAGGTGACGAAAAAAATTAACATGACCCCAGTAACCACTTAACTTTGAGCAGAAATATTTGTTTTAGATTGCTGAACATTCCTACAGAATTGTCAGCTGTGGATATTCTACAAAGATTTATCAACAAAGGCATAGAGCAAAGTGGAAAGTACCTCCCTAAGAATCTCAGGTGGGAAACCAGTGGCTTCAAATGATGTAAA